TGAGAGAGAGAGAGAGAGAGAGAGAGAGAGAGAGAGAGAGATAATGATGACGTGCGTAAAAACGATAAACAGAAACGTGCGTAAACATCGACGAACACGCTGTACCCCACCGGAGACGACTTTTTTTTGTCTCCGACCCCACTCCGTCATTAAAAGCAGGGCACGACGTACGAATTTATTCAGCACTAAGGTTAATTAAACAATAGCTACATGTATTTTCATTTACCGGTTGTTGCCTTTTCTTTCTTTTTCAAACTAGTTTTCCACCTCGACTAGACTTGTTGACAGAAATTGATAAATTGTATACCATCATTAGTTGAACCCCCCCCCCCCAATCCCATACAACAACAAAACCCCACCACCACCACCACCCCACCATCAACAACAACAACAACAACACCAACAACTACAACAACAAATAACAAAAACAAAATAAAACAAAAACTCACCAACCAACCAACCAAACAAACAAAATCCCCCAAACAAAGCAAACCCAGAAAACAAGCTGAGAAACAAACACATACACAAACAACTCAGCTCACAAGAAAGGCGTCAGTCGGGAGTGCACAGCCGTCTGCCCATAGTGCCTCTTGAACATATGAAGACACCGGTTGTGAACACATCTCCCGATACAGGTGCTGGCGTAGAGGGTGTACGCGGTTTTGAACACGCAACCTCCCATATTTGTGTCCAAGTCCTAAAGTCAGCTGCGTGTCGAAGCGCCAGATCTCGCCGATGAGGTGAACGATAATGACAGTCTCGGGGATAATGTAATGTAATATTTCATGTCAGTCTAAAAAATAAACTTTCGTCATCTGAAAGGAGAAAGAGTAAAACCTGTGAAGTGAAGAATCTGTCAACAATTCATTCGTTCGTTCACACTGTCAATTGATCTAGTGAAATACAATGTAATTCAAGGAACTAATTAACAGCAACATGCAGTTACAAAACCAACGGAAGAAAAAAAAAAAAGAAAGCTGCAGGATGGTAGTAGGAAAGCTGTGAACTAGCAACTACTATTACTACAAAGACGAGATCAAAGTAGATTTTATACACTACTCGGAACTTGAAACACCCCCCC